AAATAAATGGAAATCAATTGGAGGTCAAGGACAAAATCATTCTGTTTGCAGAGTGAAGGTTTTATAGATAAAATATATATGGCCTCCAATATCTTAAGGTGGTAATTTCACAGTGGGACCTACTATGGATGAAAAAGGAGTCTACACGGAAATTAGCCACAAAATTGGTCACTTACAAGGTGTTATGCAATGGAAGACCAGTATGTATTGGTCAGAATATCTGATGAGAAATAATTATAGTTCCGCATTTTTGTGGGTCCGTGTTGTCTAATCCTAGCATCCAGTATTTCAGTCGTTCTTCCTATACATATTGCAACTATATTTAAATAAGGAAATCATGTAACTATTATGGTGAGATGGGTGAACGTCTTTGCGCGTGGATGGAAGGACAGGTTTAACAAAGAAAACCACACGTGTATTAATAGCAAAGTAACATTGTCAAACTCCTATAAAAATCCGTTTAGTAAATCTGTCACAAATTCTACATAGCCTGGGTACACAGGACATCTCCATACTGAAGCAGGTTTGACTTCATTAAACTCCGAAACTTTGTTTTTAATTACGCATTGAACAATATCTAAAGGATAGGCATTGTTGCAGTGAGTATGGGTAATAAACCTGATCTCATCATCCTGTTTGATATTAGAACAGATCTTTAAGGCCCTACGGGTAAGAAAGAGTCTTAATTAAATTTATTTTATGTTTTATGGGACGAAAAGTGTTCCAACGGGTGTAAAAACCAGTAATTATCTGTTTTCGATAAACCGAAGTGAGAAAACCCGAAGAAGTTCTACAAGCCAAAACAGCAAGAAAGGGAAAGAAAGAGTTCATTTCTTTGTGTAAATTTATGGGCTAGATGGATATTGTTAAAGGACGTAAAGAATCCGCTTCATTTTCGCTATTGAAGAGACAAAAGTTGTCCACGAAATTAAATATCAAGTCTATTAGGATCAGATAAACTCTCTTCATGGAAGCCTGCAAATATATTTCAGCTAAAATGAGTCCTAAAGGGGAACCCATTGCGACTCCATCAATTTGATCATACATGACGCCGTCTAAACAAAAAAAAAAAAAAAAAAAAACTGAATTCAAACAACATCGTGGCTAATTTCATAAGTTTGATAAATATATCCTTTGAAATAAGAGGAGGGGACAACAGACTTATAAGGAGTCGGCACATATATCAATAGTTTCAATAAAAGGAACGGCATGAAAAGGCTAGAAATATCAAACGAATACATAAACTTGTTAGTCGAGGGTCAATTCTATATAAAGAATCTTTGATACAGGATTAATTATACCGTTTCAAAACTTATCCATACCATGTTGGGAACACCCTATCACAGGTCTCAATGGGACTCCAGCCTTATGTGTTTTGCATAAACCATAGAGATCAGGACGAATTGAACCAGAGTGTCTAATCAAATTAGAAATGTCAATAGGCAAAACTCCACTTTTACCCCACGTGACTAGGCGTTTTTGAAACTTAGCCTCAATAGTTAATGTGGAGTCAAACTTATCTACTCGGCCTAACTCAACAAATTTAGAGGTATCCTTAATAATCGTCATCATCTTGTTTACATAATCCTGATAATCCAATATGACAACGACTGAGGTTCATCAGGTTTCGTAATGACCAAAGATTTATTACGACGATGTGATTTAATAATCCGATATTGTTTCTTGTTCCACTTGAATTCACGAAAGGAAACATAAGTACCTGCGTAGGAATGCGTTAAGTCATTCACCTTAGTATTAGGGTCACTAAACTTGCTGCTAGATTCAGGTTGAAGTCTGGTTAGCTGGGCAAAAAAAGACTTCAAAACACGAATAAATTTCTTCTCGCTTAATAAACGAGGGTGGAATACAAAAATCCAGCCCATGAAAGCATCAGCTTGGACAACTCACGAAAAGAAAAATTCAGACCGTTCCGACCAAAACTAGGATTAGCAGAACACCCAAAGATTTTACAAATCAAATGCTGCAACCTATTCGGATGTTCTGACGCATGTGGAGAATGACTGCATACATGAATGAGTGCACAGAATCTTACTTATTATAAAACGCAGATTGTGTGTGTGTGTGTGTGTGTCTGTACGTTTATATATTGGATTGGATTCCCCACATTTTTCAACCAATTTCAACAAAACTTCACAGGACTACATAAAATTACCTTGTGGTGGTTCTAACCTTGCCAAAAATGGGAAAAATACAATTGTTTTTGCACAAAATCAATTTGAAAACATGATTATGAGACATCGTGAGAATGAAAGGGGGACAACTCACATCGGGTTAAAAACCCAGGTTGTTTGTGTGTGTGTGTTCCTTTATATATGGGATCGGATTTCCTACATTTTTCAGCAGATAAAACGAAAATTCACTTCTTTTTTTTTTTTTTTTTGGCAGGTAGTGTTTCTTATTGTCTTGCACACTTTTTTCTTTATTTTTACATTCAGAATGCTTTAAAAATTCCATTTACAAAACAATTGTTTATAATAAAATTCTATTCAATCGGTAGACTCATAACGATTGAAAACAATGTTTTTGTTTGAGTTTGGGTTTGACCAATTCGTAAAAAAAAAACTAATTAAGACATGCGTGTCCGTCAACCTTAAACAATAATCTTTGTCAATTTTATTTTTCATTCTTTATGATGGTGGATACTTGATCTATCTCTTACTGTTATATCCCCGGGCAACGCCGGGCTCTACTGCTAGTAATGGATAAAACGAATCCTATCAACAACAAAAAAAAGAAAGTAAGCTGATAGTATTATTACATAACTGATAATATTCCTATACAGTTGTGCCAGACCGTAAGAGAGCTTAGGAAGGTGTAAAAAAATGCCTCCTCTATTTTCTGTCCTGAATGTAAATTAACCTTATATATATATATATATATATATATATATATATATATATATATATATATATATATATATATATATATATATACAGCTAGTGAGCCAGATAAACCTACCTAAGTTTACTCGTATCGGGGTTTTTTCTTTGGGCTTCAAACCTGCATCTGTGCGATTTTTTTCGTCAGACTTTCATGTTTGTAGCTCTTTCGTTTTTTAAAACCTTTTTTCCCTCGAGATTGATTTGATTATTGGCAAATAAAAAATTCGAGGGCTTTTTGAAACCAGTATAGTTATCTATATTTGTATATATATATATATATATATAATTTATTCGAACATTATAACATAAATATGTTATAAAATCCCTACAAAAATAGCCATTTTGTTTCAACACTTCTAATGTCTTATCAAGTGATGGTGTTGAATGTAGAAATAAAGAGTTTTAAAAGGTTCAAATCAATCAAACACCCCCTCGCTGGGGGGAAACGCTGTTACATAAACAGGAATGACCAATCAAAATGCAAGTATATGACAATGCAAAAAACTTGACAACGAACCTTGGTTATAATAATTAATGCCCTAATGTTAGGGTTAGACTAAAATAGAAATCATTCTAATTAATATTAAATGTTACTATAAAAATTGAAAATTAAAAATTACCAATTTTAAATTTTTAATTTAATCTGTATTAAGTTTTAAAAATTGAGCACTCTTTTAAGAATAGTATATTTTTGGTTATTAGAACACACACACACACACACACACACACACACACACACACATATATATATATATATATATACAGGCCTTGAAGACGCCCTTCAGGTGGACGTCCTGTAAATGGCTTTTGACACTTCGGCCTTTTACCTTCAGCGTTTTATGTGAATAAAAGTTATAAGAATTTAGAATTAATAAAATATTTTTAAGCTTTATTCGTTCTCTTAGTTCGGCATAATCTTTCTTCATATTCAATGAAATCATATATATATATATATATATATATATATATATATATATATATATATATATATATATATATATATATATGTAAAATATATTGATATAGATCCGACAGTGTGAAGAAAATATATGGAAAAAACAAACAAGATAGACCGAAACGTCCGACGTTGACATTTTATTAGCATTAAAACAGCATAATTGCATATTAGGATTTTTGTTTGTTTTTTCCGTATTTTTTCTTCATATATATATATATACATTTCAGACATAGTGATTTTGCAAAATCGGCGCTTGTTTATATTAGACGCTGTCGAGAGATATCGTTCTTTTCAGGTTCCTGAAAAGGAATGCGTCACCGAAATGACTGTTCGAAATCATTCCATTTCATTCACAAACAATTTCCGAACGTTTTTAAATTATATGATTTCCAGGTTCTTCTCCTTACATAGATTGCAATTTCCTGGTGAACGTTTGGAAGAAATCAATAACATTTTTCAAAAAAAAAAAAAAAAAAAAAAAAAAAAAAAAAAGGGAAAAAAATTATATTTTTTAAAAATAAAAAATAGAAAGAAAAAAAATGGTCACTTCTGGTGCGTATTCTTTGAATATTTCTTCCCCTTGGAAGTCTACTGTTTTTTTTTGGGGGGGGTTGCAAATAGCGTTTCTTTTTCTTTTATAAATTTCTACGTTTTACTAAAAATGATATAGTTAAAAAGAAGCTACCAAAAAACGACAGAGACTTGTTTCAAGAAAATGATTGCTGGTTAGCGTTTTCCAGAATTCTCAGCTGCCATATTTGTCTTATATGACGAAAATATCTCCAATCATTAAGCCAAACTCACATGAGATATTAATTCAGCTGATAAAAGTAGTTAATCATATTCAAAATGCAAAATACTGCAAAGACCGAAATTAATTTTGACAATTTAAATAATGATCACAGGAAAGACCCGTGAAAGTTTTCTTATTTTAATTTTCTGGTGAATCATAATTCTTAATTTAGTGATAGAATAAGCTCATGGCGTGTTCTATGACAATATAATATCTGTACACATTCCCCTATCGCATCGTTAAATATTTGAGCTTAACAACTTTAAGAAAATATTGCAATAACAATCATAAATATGAATGCTGGTCGATATTTTAAGAAGTGGGTACAAATGAAAGAGCTGTTAAGTAATTCTAACTTCCCCTCTTTCTCTCTCTCTCTTTCTTTCTTTCTTTCTTTCATTCTCTTTCTTTCTTTCTTTCTTTCTTTCTTTCTTTCTTTCTTTCTTTCGTTCATTTTCTCATTGAAACCAAATAGTGTCTTTTCTCCTCTTTACACGCAACCCAAAGCGAAATAGACCATTATTATTCTTATATAACAAAAATATTTCCAATCATCAAACCAAACTCTCATGTGATATTAATTTAGCTGATAAACGTAGTTTACCATTGTCAAAATACAAAATAATGACAAGACCGAAATCAACTTAGAATAATTTAAATATCTCCACGATTTACCCATATCCATACCATTAAGTACCATCTTATGTATGATTTACGACAATATCGCATTGAAACACCAGTTCTCTTCTAATCACTAACGTTAAGCAACGTCGTATCTGGTCAGTACCTAGATGGGTAACCGTTTGAGAATACAAGGTGCTGTAATCTTCGATGTGCGACTTGTATAACCTCCCGGAATTGTTAATCGGGGAGTCGAGTTCCATTTGAGCAAAATGTTTGCAATCCACATCTTTTCCTCCAGCTATGGGACAATTAGTAGGATTTTTATTCCAAAACCATTATTAACTGAAAAAAAAAAACTTTAAAAAATTCTTACAATATAAAAATATTTTCTCGCTTTATATAATCTGAAAGGAGTTGATAAGTCGAAAAAACGAATCAAATAAAAAAAAATTTCAATGCGCGATGCCCCTTCAGGGTGTGGGCGATCATGGCTCTTCTCAGTGTCCTACTGATTGTAATCCTAATATTGGCACTATGAAGGACAGACAGATTCAGACCGAACAACCATTTCTACTGCTTATTCAGAAACATTGTCATCAGATTCTGAATGGAATTTCGCCAAATCTATAAGAACAATGTCGGGAACGCTATTCAAAAACAGCCACCTATTTTGGATATCGCTAAGCTTAAAACAATGCTGTAAATGGGTAAATATATTAAACCTAGGAAAACTTTCCTCTGTAAGCTTAAGGATATATTTTTTAATCATTTCAATCCAAGCGAGGCAAGAATGCCATTAGAACGCAAAGGATTATTAAGTGTTAGAGAATATGACAAAACTACTATTAAGGAGAGAGAATAATAAAAGAATACGAATTAAGAAGTTAGACGATAACGATTGATATTGCATTTAAGTTTTTGAAGATTAAAGTTGCCTGGGAAGTAAGAAGATGAAAAAGATTTCCACAAGCGAGAAGTGCGAGAAAGGAAAATGTTAGCATAGAACTTATGGTTGCATCTCGCCATTTCAGCTGTAAAATGATAAAACCATGCAGCCAATCTAGTACTGCATTTAAATTTATAAATTCTAGGTACCATAGAGCAAAGTTTATTCTTTAATTTTTTTTACTTAAAACCATATTTGTTATTTTTGTCTGTTAATAATTTCATCCCAAACCAAGTAAATAAAGCCACTGAACGCAGGAGGGGGTGCTAATTGTGAAAGAATATGAGAAAATACATTATAAAGGAGAGAGGATAAAAACAATAGGAAGGAAGAAGACAGAATATAAAAATTGACATTGTATTTAAATTTTTGAAGATAAAAGCGAACTCGGAAGTATAAAACCGGAAGAGAGTTCCACAAGCGAGAAGTGTCATAGAAATAAATGTTAGTATCAAAATTACGGTTATATCTAGCCATTTCAGCTGTAAACTGATGAGACCTAGCCGCCAATCTAGTACTGCTCTTAACTGCTTGTATAAGATATTATTATGTAGGACTAATTGAAGGAAAAGAAGTGAAGTGAAAAAAAAGTGTGAAGTGCGATAGAAGAAATTGTTAGCATAGAACTTACGGTTATATCTTAATTCATCCGTAAAATGATGAGTTGGCATAAATTTAGTACAGTGTAACCCGGATATAAGAGACCCGGATATAAGAGAAACCCGGATATAAGAGAGATTTTCTCTGATACCCAAATTAGAGCCTGTGTTAATGTATATATAATAGACCAAGCCCGGATATAAGAGAAACCCGGATATAAGAGACTTCTTCTCCGGTCCCGACAACTCTCTAATATCCGGGTTACACTGTACTGAATATTAATTCATAGAGTCTAGGTACAATAGCGGAAAGTTGGATTTTATCAGGAATCTCTAAATATGTAGCAGGAACACCAAATAGGAAAGCAATGTTCAAAGCAAGGACGAATGGTAAATTTATAAATATGAAAGATGGATCCTGAGGAGAACAATTGTTTAGCACGAAATAGTGAACCAACTTTTTTTAGCTTCAGAGTTAACAGTTCATTCAACATAATCTTTCCACTTCATTCCAGCTGAGAACCGTAGCCAGAGAAGACGAAATGAGTCACTCTGCTTGAGGATAACATTGGTCATGTTGATGGAAGATAAAATGGGTTTTCTCGGAAGATTAAAAGAGAGAAGATTAAAAGATTTCGTATTAAATCATACCAGCCATTCCTTATCCAAGTTAGCAATAAACTGTAGGTCATTTTTGAGATCAGCTGTCAAATTCACCTTATCGAACCGATCACACTTTTCATGTGATGTTTTACGTATATATATATATATATATATATATATATATATATATATATATATATATATATATATATAGGGAGAAAATGATCTTTAAGGCAAATATTGTTAAAATTACAGGCATTTTGCAGATTAATTTTAATGATCTACTTTTCCAATTTACGAATAACTAGCAGTAGAGCCCGGCGTTGCCCGGGGATGTAACATTAAGAGATAGATCAAGTATCGACCATCATAAAGACTGAAAAATAAAATTGACAAAGATTATTGTTTAAGGTTGACGGACACGCATGTCTTAATTAGTTTTGTTTTGTTTTGTTTTGTTTTTTTTTGTTTTTTACGAATTGGTCAAACGCAAACAAAAACATTGTTTTCAATCGTTATGAGTCTACGGATTGAATAGAATTTTATTATAAACGATTCCTTGTAAATGGAATTTTTAAAGCACTCTGAATGTAAAAAAAAGAAAAAAGTGTGCAAGGCAATAAGAAACACTACCTGCCAAAAAAATGTGAAATTTTGTTGAAATCGGTTGAAAAATGTAGGAGATCCGATCCCATATATAAACGAACACAGACACACACACACACAAACAACCTGGGTTTTATAATAAGTATAACTCGATATGAGTTGTCCCCCTTTCATTCTGGCGACATTGGTACCTCTTAATCGTGTTTTCAAATTGATTTCGTGCAAAAACAATTGTGTTTTTCCAATTTTTGGCGCTGTCAGAACCACCGCAAAGTAATTTTACGTAGTCCTGTGAAGTTTTATTGAAATCGGTTGAAAAATGGAGGAAATCCGATCCCATATATAAACGAACAGACACACACACACACACACACACACACACACAACCTGGGTTTTATAATAAGTATGATTCTTTTTCAGATAAAATGAAGTTTCCATCAAAAATTCTCCGAAGATCATTTTGAAAGAAAAATACAAGAAATATGCAACAAGATTTAAATATGTTTAAGCCATCATCAGAGTAGCTACCGACACTTGGTTAGTTTTGTAGAACTAGTGAGTGTTGCGACGTAGGCAAACAGTGTTAGGACGCAAGCGAGGTGTGACGTCTTTTTTACAGGCTTTAAATACAATGTGCGATAGATAAATTATCGCCAGTTTTTATTTTTAATTTCGCGCATGCGTGTTGTTTGTTTTTGATTTTGTCGACTGCACAGTATAGTTGGATCAGCTGGCCACTTTTCTCTTAGAAAAAGATTACCATGACGCAATTCTCTTCGCCAGAAATTTGGAAACGGCATGTTCTAATGCTTGGCATTTGCGCTGGAAGCTCTAACACGTACATTTTAGATTGTTTGGGTGTCAATCTGAAGAGAGTGCAGTTGATTCGGAAAGAGTTGGATAATATATCCAGTCTACATCATGGTGATTGGAGTGATCACTAGTGATGGCGACACTATGCCTCCATTCAACTTCCCACAGGGCCACAGACTCAACACATCATGTGCCTCAAGGAGGTAGTGCTGTTCTGGGGCAGGCGTTTGGCTGCTGGGAGACCCTATGTATGACAACAGGACTTTGCACCATGCAACACAAGCAGGAGAACGCAATCATAACTGTCAAACAATCTCTTCGACCTCATCACCCCTTACATCTGACTCCCCAGACGGCAACCACCTTGATTATTATGTGTCCGGCGTAGAGAGACCAACAAAACTACTTGCGACACTAAAGATGAACTGAAGGCAAGGATTACGGCAGCATTCACAAACTTAAACAAGGAGACCTTCCAGAAGAGTTGCAAGAGATTCCCTAGTCGGCTAGTGGCCGTGGTTGAAGCCAATATCGATTTAGTATTTCAAGATATTTTTGTGTAATTTTGAGAATAGATCTTTTAATGAAATATCGGTGTTATTTTCATTTTGGCGCAATTTAGACGACAATTTGTCCATCGCATCCTGTATGAATGCGTGCATGTTTTTCATATAAAAAAATAGTTGATAGAAAGACTCGGTTAAAAGAGACGGGGAGTATGGAGATCAAGCGACAACAAGGAGTACCATAGAAATAACTTAAGATCCTCAATGAGATATGAAATGCAAACAACTTTATTAAAGAAAAATAAATTCTACTAAATATTAAGGATGAACATATTTGAATAGTTTTTGAGCCCTGAAAAGGTAATAAATTCCTTGACAAATAACTTATTTCTCTAAAATAAGGATCAATGGTAGTTGTGGGGAAAGGGTCAATTACACAAAGAATATCAATCAAATAACAAGATATCACAAGATAAATGCGAACGTATACAAAACAATGCAAATTACAAGGAAGAAGGTCCAGTAAATGGTGTTAAACCCGGTTAAAGTGGCATATTTACCTTGAGCTATAAAATATGAACGTTATTAATATTTCTTTTGATTTGATGTGAGAAGGCAGGGACATATTCTTTTACGAATTTCGACGTTCGTGACAAAATCTGTTCGTGCTTTATGAGTCTTCAATGTAAAGCGTTGTTTTTTCGAACAGTGCTTCTTCTCTGTCGTAGAGACGGCCATATTGTTACAATAGTCGAGGTGAAAATGGAACATAATTCTCTCGTGAAAACGAGGTGAAAATGGAACATAATTCTTTCGTGACAACGACAATTTGGTTGTCAAGGCTCCGTTGAGGATTCAGTTTCTTTCAGTCTCCGTTCGATCAGGAATTCAGATGCTTCTAAAAGCATATGAAATCCTGATCTCTGTCGTAGAGACGGCTATATTGTTACACTAGTCGATGTGAAAATGGAACATAATTCTGTCGTGAAAACGACAATTTGGTTGTCAAGGCTCCGTTGAGGATTCAGTTTCTTTCAGTCTCCGTTCGATCAGGAATTCAGATGCTTCTAAAAGCATCGCGTCTCTCTCTCCTCTCTTGTCGTGTCTCCCACTGATGGCGATGGTCGTATTCCAGGGACATTTACAACCAAAGGTCAGCTCCGATTTCTTCGAAAATAATTTGGTGGTCAACACAAGGATTTCAGATTCAGAATTGTCATTGGTTAAAGAATCGCGTTTATCAAAACAATTTATTGTAGTAGAACCCCCCCCCAAAAAAAAACAGTTCTGCTTTTCTTTTATTTTCCTTCGCCATTAAGGTGACCCCCCTCCCGACTACACCTTCAAAAGAGATTTGCATGTAGGCTGTTAAGGGTTCAGTAAATTATTTTATTATCCACTTCCCTTTCCCCAAACTAACCGAAATTTACTCAGAGTGAAGAAAATAATTTTTAGCATTTACTTGTTGCATCAGTTAGTTTGGAGCTTAAAGATCAAAGCACTACTCATTTGACACTAGAAAGATTGACTTTACAGCATAATCTTCTATTTTGTTAATGCACTCAATCCAGTTGTTAATTACGCGGACTCGCACATATCTCTTTCTACATACTTTACTTTTCTATCCAATTTTCATCCAATTTTTCAGCTTCTGCTCACTTCAGTCGGTAAGTAATTTTAATTTAACGAAGCACAAATTAATTTTAGATCTTCAACACACACAACTCAATGAATTCCGTAAAGAAATGCATCTTCCGGCAATAAATAAACAATTAAAAGACTGGTAGAGTCTAACAAATGACGCCTCTCATGTTTGAAAACAAAAAATGGACATATTCGGCGTCTTTCATTATTGTATAAAACTGAGACAAATCTGTACAATAAAATTAATTCAAGAAATGTATGGTCAGTGTGATGTCAAGAAACTGAACATGACTTGTTAAAAATGACTTGTTAAAAACAAAAAAAATACAACACTGCAAAGAGGGTGTGCCACTAGCACGCAAAGGGTTACAGAGAGTGAGTGTAAGCTTAAAGTGGGTATTTGATGAAAAGATAAAGAGGACAGGGATCAAGATCAAAACATTGAATAAGTCGATTGACATTACATTTGAATCTCTGAAGTTTATAGCTATCAGGGAAGCAAGTAAGAAGAACGGACTTGAACTGTCGGGAAGCTGTTGGAGTAGAAGAGGTGGTTACATTTAACTGTTTCGACAGTGTTAGACCGATATGCCAACCTAGTTGCACGCTTAAATCCATGCAGTTGGGGTAAAGTTAACCTGGCCTCTGGTCACGAAAACGACCTCCAATCTGTGGCAGGAAATGCCTTATGACTTTTAATGCATCCAAAACGAAACTGAGGTCATTTACCCACCGTAGAGAAACTTTCCTGCCTCCTAACATCATGGTGGATGCTCATCTCAGCGGGAGTGCCTGACTGCACCTTTTTTGTCTCACATTTTCCACTGACTTGAGGTAGAACAATTACATTGAAGCAATAGATGCATCTTCCGCAAGGAAAGTTGGTTCTCTGTGTTGCGCCAGAAGGTTTTTTTTCTCGTCTGAGCCCATCCTACACATCTAGAAATTTACCATTCTTCCAGGCATGGAATACTGTTGCCATATATGGTCTGGTGCTCCCGCTGTTCATCTTGAGGATCTCGACAAAATCCAAAGACGCATATGCATTGTGATCGGTCCTGACTTGAGGTTTCAATTCCAGTCACTTTCTCATCGACGTAATGTGGCTTCGATCTGTCTTTTCTATAAATATTTTAATGGCGTCTACTTTGACGAGCTATTTCCACTGGTGTCTCGACTTCATGGATTTAAACGTGTTACTATGTTGGCATCTCGCTTCCACCTTTTTATTGTTGAAAAAGTTAAATTTCACCGTCTCTTCTAGTCCAACAGATTCTTCATTCGCACTTCCCGACAGTGGAACTCTCTTCCACTTACTTGCTTTGCTGATAACTATAATCTTCAAAAATTTAAATGTTATGTCAATCGACATTTTCTGTTGCCCTGATCTTCGTTTTTCCCTAAACTCTTTTCACTTACTTGTACTATCTGTACTCCCTTGTGTATTAGTAGCACTACCGCCTCGCTTGGGGTGAAGTGCTTTAAAAAGGAAATACTGAATTTCCTATTAAATGACGTAAAATAGAAAAAAATTCCTAGCTCAAGAACGCCTTTTCTACTCTTAATGAAATTTCGAACTGAACTCAGGTGTCAATATATTCCTAAGTAGGCTATTATCTATCGTTTAAGCTGTATCGCTTGACCAATTAAACAGACTAGATTAGGGTTTTAGTATTATAAAGACAAGACCCATTTTTTTCTGATAAACGGGAACTGATCAAAAATCTTTTTTCTTTAAAAAAAAAATCCTGTCATTTTAACTATGGGAAATGCTATCCTTTAATCATTTTCTTTTTAATGATTATTTTTCATTTGAAAACATATTATCCGAGTTTCTTGTTAAATAATTCCTTTGTGTGTATATTGAACTTTTCAAAACATTCAAGTTGTCCCAGTGTAAGAAATGTCATCTGTAATCATTGAGAGATTGACACGGACATACAAAAATCAGACGGATTTTTTTAAAGGTCACTTTTATCTTATCAAACACAACATATTTCCAATGACCTTTGCGCAATTTGATTTTATTTATAATGAGTATGTTTGCGCATCAGGAAAGGTTCGAATGACACGAGGAAAGGCTTGTGAACGTCCGGATAGAACGCCGCGACGATTGATAAGCCCGACTTGCTATCTGAATTCTCCAGTCAAGAAGATGACCACTTCGCACACAGAAGGTATATTCTGGAATGATCTCTTCGAAAGAATAAGATGGTCATTTAAAAATAGATAAATAATGCAGAATATTATACAAAAACGTTTACCTATGTCAGCAATAGCTTAAATCTCAGAATGAGATGAGTAAATAGGATACTATTTAAATTAAGTGGTCCACTGGTAAAAAAAAAAAAAAAAAAAAAAATGAAGGAAAATGCTTTTGGGGAATATTTCTGTAGATTAGGATTCATTCGACACTCCTCTCCCGACAACATTTGTCAGATTCGAAAAATATTGTATTTATTTTAGATTGGACATCCTGTTTATAACATAAATAAAGTGTCAAATCAATCCCTGGTTTCGTTTTTTTTTTTTTTGTGGCGGGGGGATTTTGTTTAGCGGCATATCAACTTCTCTACTGAAATCTGAATATTTTCTACGCAATTTGTTTGAGATAATAATCGTTTTAGTGATATAAGTTTTACTAATTAACCCATAGCTGGGGAGAGAACAGGTGTATTCATACGTTTCCCAAGGGCATTGCACATAAGTGAATATAACGAACCCAACTGGAAATGGAACTCGGTTTTTCCGATTAACATTTCCGAGCCATTATCCGTTACACCACCTGCACATCCAGTCTTACAGCATCTGACATTACGAAGCGGTCACCCATGTAGGTGCTGACCAGGCTCGACATTGCTTAACTTCGGTGATCGGACGGGAACTAGTGTTTCAACGCGATGTGGCCGTAAGCTCTCTGATTTCTTTTGGAATTAATCAAGACTTTATTTTTATTAAAAAAATGTCAAGTTTTAATCTGTGTTTACGTTATTGATAAGGACGTGCGATTGAAGTTATTTTCCCAGTTCATATTGTACATAATTGGACACATCGTTATGGTTTTATGATTAGCAAGCTTTCCTCGCGAGAACAATTACGATCTAAGCAAATAGTCAGGTTTTTTTTTTTAAAGCGGTATCACCCCAAGCAAGGCAGTGAAGTCACTAAAACACAATGGGTTACAGGATGTGGAAGAATTTGAAACAGAAACATTAACACAGAGTGGAAAGAGAAAAGAGTAATCAAGAGGACAGTAGATAGCGATTGACATTCATTTAAATTTTTGCAGATTAAAGTTGTTTAGAGAATATTGAACCAGAAGGGGGTTCCACAGGCGAGAAGTGAGATAAAAGAAACTGTCAGCATAGAACTTACTGCTACATCTAGCAAGCTCAACTGTCAATTGATGAGATCTCGAAGCCAGTCAATACTTAAATCCAGAGCTCATCTGAACATTATCATGAAAGTATTTACAGAAAAGACACAATCAACCTTACAGTGATGGAAATATGACCGAATCAGGGTCAATAATTTTGCTAATCGTTCTTTTGACCTTATCAAGGAGCTCAAGTTAAACAACAAGGTCACCGGACCATATGTGACAGCAATATTCTAAGCATGGACGAATAGATATGTCAAATAGTTTCTAGAGAGAAAAATTTGTCCCGCACGACACAGTGAACCGGCTTTCTTGGCAGCTGACCTTGAGATGTATTCAATATAGCCTTTCCATTTCATGACAGCTGAGAATGGGAATCCTAGAAGTCACAACAAGTCACTTTCCTAGAGGTTAGCATTAGCCATGCCGAGGAAAAGCAGAGAAGCGTCTTTCAGATGATTAATGGAAAGAAGTTTTTTTAGGCATTAAAATTAACAAGCCATCTTTTGCTTCTGTTAACGATGGACTGACATTCGTAAATATAAACAAAGTTCAGGCAATTCTTCATGAAGTCAGGAAGACAGGCGAGGCTGTAATGGACAGGCCTCACTTCTAAAATGATAAAAATAATTAATCTTTTTTCGATACTGACAAATTAATTTGTTAGAGGTATGTCTAATGAATACTGATCTACAAGAATTGTCAAAATAATTTTGTCTGATACTAGCAGTAGAGCCCGGCGTTGCCCGGGGATATAACAGTAAGAGATAGATCAAGTATCGACCATCATAAAGACTGAAAAATAAAATTGACAACGATTATTGTTTATGGTTGACGGACACGCATGTCTTAATTATTTTTTTTTTTTCTTTTACGAATTGGTTAAACCCAAACTCAGACAAAAACATTGTTTTCAATCGTTATGAGTCTATCGATTGAATAGAATTTTATTATAAACAATTGTCTTGTAAATGGAATTTTTAAAGCATTCTGAAAGTAAAAATTAAGGAAAAAGGGTGCAAGACAATAAGAAACACTACTTGCCAAAAAAAAAGTTATGTTGAAATCGGTTGAAAAATGTAGGAAATCCGATCCCATATATAAACGAACACGCACACACACACACACACACACAACCGGGGTTTTATAAGTATAACTTGATATGAGTTGTCCCCCTTTCATTCTGGCGACAGAATCGTGTTTTATCATGTTTTCAAATTGATTTCGTGCAAAAACAATTGTGTTTTTTTAATTTTTGGCAATGTCACAACCACCACAAGGTAATTTTACGCAGTCTTGTAAAGTTCTGTTGAAATCGGTTGAAAAATGTAGGAAATCCGATCCAATATATAAACGTACAAACACACACACACGCACACAATCTGCGTTTTATAATAAATAAGATTTAGAAATGTATTTCAGATTTGTTTATTGGTTTAGTGTGTTTAACGTCATTTCAACTCATTATGGGTCATGTAATGTGGTAATTAAATTTTTCTTTGAAGCTTTGAAGTAATTAATATATGCTATTCTACTTTCACAATTAACTACATGGTAAATGATACTTTTTTTGTTAACAGGTTTGTGTGGGTATAATTACTAGAGACGGTTATAGGTGTGTTTTATGTTGTCGTTTTGTTGAAGTATTTTGGAATACAGTTTGGTTTTCTTTAAGAAATTCTAGGATATTTTATGGATTAATATCATCAAAGACTTCTTTCAGGTTGGTTGATTTTATTTAGTGCATATCAACCTCCGTGAATTATTCAATACCTAAATCTAAATATTTTGAACGCAATTGCCTTCAACTATAGATAAGATATATGATACGGAACCGTCATGCAGCCTGACGTGCTTTTACCGATTGAGCCACGGAGGAGCGTTTCGGTTAGCAAGGTTGATTTTACTGTTTTTAAACTACAATTCTCCATGATTTTCTCTCGTACATTCATATCTGCTCGATGCGTATCCAAACGTAAAAAATGACGTCACACATTATGAAATGGACAAAGAAAAGAACGTATAAATATTAAAAAAATGTCTTAAAATAATTGATGGACTTTTCTTATTGACTATTATGTGTGGGGCGCAGTTGAGTGAGAACCAACAACACTCCTTGTAAAACCAAAGGAATATGGCACCATTCACCAAGAAATAGGCCGTCCAGAAAAGATGCAGGAGATTTCGAAGTCGTCTGGATTCCTTGGTTGAAGCCAATGCCAATTTTATTGGATAAATTTACTGCTTACTATTTCAAGATAATCTTGTTAAATATTAATGTTAAAATGAGATGTCAGTGTTATCTGCATTTTTCGTAATTTAGATGACAATTTATTCGTCGTATATATATATATATATATATATATATATATATATATATATATATATATATATATATATATATATATATATAGTCATAGTTCGTAGAGACACAGTCCTATGGGGAAAGTGAAATTGAATGAGTTCCACCACGGAATATGTGATCGAGCGGCGGTATATCGAGTTTAATTCGTTCCCTCTCTGTCACCGAGGCCCATTGGTACAATTGGTATAGCATTTACCTCCTATCGTAACTGTTCGGGTTTCAATTCTCGGTAGTGGATGGGCACTGCTGATGAGTCCCAAATATAGGGCGAAACGACCGTTCTGTGCATTCTGTTGATGTTTCCTCTAGACTCGATGAATTACTTAATTATTATTATTTCAAATCCTCCTAATATTATATATATTGATCAATAGGAAGGGAGGAATATTTAATACATGATCGAACATTCTTTTCTTACATAAGGAAAATTTATCGGTCGAGGTAGGTTTTTGTAAATATAGCTGAGAAAATGTTAGCTTAAACTCAGGAAACACCTGTTCCTTACTAATCCCAGGAGGAGGAATACAAAAATCCAAACCTCTGGAAAGATATTTAGCAAAGCTTGATTTGGTGTTTTTGGACCTGATGTCCCCTGGAGCTGAACGGTCAGGCATGTCAGGCGGTTCCGTATAGGATACAGATTCGTTTCCTGTCCGCTGACGCATATTTTATATGAAATTTCTAGAACATTCAAGCTGGTTAATTAAATTAATACTGTTTAATTAAAAACCTGAGCATTTATTCGAGTAAGTGCTTCCATACAAAAACGTATAAACAGAAAATATATTGAAATATTTGTCGGATTTAATCCATTTCATATAATATATGTATTTTTGCTATTGGCTCATCATTTATTTCTTCCTTCTTTCCTTTCTTTTCTTTCTCTCTCTCCCTTCATGTCCCCCCCTCTCTATTTGTTTTTTCCCTTAATTTTTAAAATTTTGTTTATATTTTTTTTCTTTTTTCTTTCTTCCTTTTTTTATCATTAATATTTTTTTCGCTTTTTCTTCGTTCCCCTTTTATTCTCTCTGACATTTTTTCCATTCTCCTTTTTATCCCGGTATATCTGTCTGGATGGATTAATTCCATTTCTTAAAATCTTTCGTTCTGAAGAGATTAATATAACAATATACATGAAATAAATTATAGCCGATATGGATTTTTAAGGTATTTTCTTAATTTACCATTATACACATATGATGTGTGGATTGGGGGGTGGCATCTATCATCAACACATCTGCCATCGCCACCACCAAGACCGATCCTAATGATTTATTTTATCACACAGACAGAATGTCACTTTGGCCAACAGTCGAAAAAATGAGATCAAAGCTCACTAGTAATATAGATAATGAACAATGAAATATTAAAAGAACATAAGGATTTTTTTTTCCTTTAAAAATTGCTTCCTTTAATTTGCCTGAAGATGGTCACGAGACAGGAAACACGTGTAACGAAAATATGAAGAATAAAATATAATATATAAACTAAAACAAATCCATATTAATAACCAAAAACGTTGCGGTGTCTTTTTTTTTTAAATATAGATTTTTCTCTCGTTGGAAGAATTATAATGTTTTCCACACACACACACACACACACACACACACACACACATATATATATATATATATATATATATATATATATATATATTAGTTTGTATGTTCACTGTTTATATTGAAGGCTTTGCTTTGTTCGACGGTAACCTTGCAGTCTCTAATAGCCGTTGACTGAACTGAAATCAGCCTCGTGTCACCGAAACTATTGCATCGATTTCCCGTAAGCAGTAATTATTGATCAAGATTCGCTCCCAATATATACGTACTGTTTAAAAACAAATGTCGCACTGATTCAACTCGGCATTCTGGCAAATTCTCGAAGAATATTGTCGTTTCTTGTGAAGTTCTCCAAGTATTCCGTTGGCTTAAACTTACCGTACTTCTATCGATTCCTTTCTATTCCAAACATTGGTTGCAGACAAAGAGAAAAAGAAGTGTCTGCGGTTTTTTTTTTCAAATAGTTAAATCTGCTCCTTTGTAAATTTAAAACAATAAAAGAAATTATATAAAATCACATTTTTCTGACTTGAAGGTAAAACTGAAATTCTAAGATGTTTTTTTTTCCTTCCCAATGTCAAAACCTTTCTTATTCTGAAGGACTTTATC